GCACGAAGGGTGATGCCATGTCATTTATGTTGTTTCTTATGGTGATAACGAGAGTAAAAGCACGAAGGGTGATGTCGTGCACGTGTTAATGTTTCATTATCCCTGTTGATGCAAATATGGTATTCATTATGCTTCTCTGTTGAATTACTATTAGAACTTGATATTCCCTGCAACAAGTTTCCCCTTCCCATCTTTATCTGTTATTATTGCTCTGCTCGTATATGATTTAACTGCACAGATTTATATGATTGTTGTGTCCTAGCCTCATCACTACTTCGTCGAGGTTAGGCTCGACACTTACCAGTACATGGTATCGGTTATACTGATACTTTACTCTGTACTTTTGTGCAGATCTCGGTGCCGGACCTTGTGAGTAGATTCGAGGTTGTTGCCTTCAGTCCAAGGAGTCCAAGGTAGATCTGCTGGCGTTCGCAGAGCCTGAAGTCCCCTTTCACCGTTCTAGTTTCTTCTGTCTCTTCTATTTCGAGAACAGTTGTACTTCTTTCAGACTTATATTTATAGTAAATCTTAGTCGTTCGTGGATTGTGACACTAGATCTTTGGGGTAGCTATGTATTAGAATTGTTGGATTGCTATATCACTTTCGCATTTTATAATTATTTTATTTTAGTTATTATCTGTTCCTGTTTGAATTAATAATAATGGTGGTAAAAGTGTAATTGTCGGTTGCCTAGCTCTTACGAGTAGGCGCCATCACGATTCCTGAAGGTGGGAAAATCCGGGTCGTGATAAGTTGGTATCGGAGCTCTAGGTTGCCTAGGTCTCACAATTCATGAACAAGCTAGGTAGAGTCTGAGAGATCGGTACGGAGACGTTTGTGCTTATCTCTTAGAGGCTACAGAGTTTAGGAAAATTTCATATCTATTCCTTTCTGTCATGCGACTTGATTTCTCAATGCTAATTGAACTTCCACTTTGTTCTTTCGCAGATGGTGAGAACACGTACCGCTTCATCAGCTGACCAGTAGCCCGAGCCCCCAATGGCAGCTCCTACGAGGGGCAGAGGCCGAGGCGCTGTGCTAGAGGCAGGGCTCAGCCTAGAGCTCGAGCAGCAGCACCAGCGGCGGAGCCTTGGGTAGAGTTTGAGGATGAGGTTCCGACCCAGACAGTTCCAGCAGGGTCAGCTTAGGTCCCAGAGGGATTCATCGCCACTCTGGTACTGCAGGATGCTTTGGTCCGTCTAGTGGGCCTTATAGAGAGTGTCACTAAAGCAGGCATATTCCCTGTAGCACCAACTATCTCTCAGGCTGGAGGAGGAACCCAGACTCCTACTACTTGCACTCCGGAGCATATGGCTCCCCAGTTTCAGACTCTAGCAGCTCAGCCAGTTGGGGTAGTTTCAGCGGGTGTTGTGGCATAGACCGGTGATGGGTCAGCTATATCTGTTGATGCCTTGTGGAGGCTGGACAGATTCACCAAGCTTTTTACTACCACTTATGGCGGTACATCTTCAGAGGATCCCCAGGATTATTTGGACAGTTGTCACGAGGTTCTGTAGAACATGGGTGTAGTGGAGACCAATTGGGTCGACTTTGCTGCTTTTTATCTGTCAGGTTCTACTAAGAAGAGGTGGATGGATTATTGTTTGGCCAGACAAGTTGGATCACCAGCTCTGACTTGGGATCAGTTCTCTTAGCTATTTTTGGAGAAGTTTATCTCTATCACTTGGAGAGAGGATTATCGGAGGCAGTTTGAGAGCCTCTAGTAGGGTTCTATGACAGTAAGGTGATCAACAGTGAAAGAAAATAATGGTTAGTCATAAAAACCTACTACCAACAGAAAGAGAGACTGCGTGCCAATATTACTATTATAAACACTCTAGACTACCTACTTTACTACCCTAATCCTCGACCTCCATACCTTCCTATCAAGGGTCATGTCCTCGATCAGCTGAAGTTGCGTCATGTCTTGTCTAATCACCTCTCACCACCTCTTCTTTGGCCTACCTCTACCTCTCCGTAGGCCCTCCAATGTCAACCTCTCACACCTCCTCACCGGGGCGTCTATGCTCCTCCTCTTCACATGATCAAACTACCTAAGTCGCGCTTCCGACATCTTGTCCTCATCAATAGGGGCCACACTCACCTTGTCGCGACTCACCTCATTTCTGATCCTATCTAACCTGGTGTGCCCGCACATCTATCTCAACATCCTCATCTCTACTAGTTTCATCTTCTGGACATGAGCGATCTTGATCACTTAGCCCCATACAACATTGTTGGTCTGACCACCACTCTATAGAACTTACCCTTAAGTTTTGGTGGCACCTTCTTGTCATATAAAACACCGGAAGCTAGTCTCCATTTCATTCATCCTGCCCCAATACGATGGGTGACATCTTCATCAATCTCCCCACCCCCTGAATGATAGACCCAAGGTACTTAAAACTCCCTTTCCTAGGGATGGATGACCTGCGAATCCAGCCTCACCTCCCCTTCCCCTTCTTGAGTCTCCCCACTCAACTTACACTCCAAGTATTCTGTCTTAGTCCTGCTCAACTTGAAACCTTTAGATTACAGGGTCTGTCTCCATACCTCTAATTACTCGTTCACACTGTCTCGCATCTCGTCAATCAATACAATATCATCTACAAGTAACATGCACCACTACACCTCCCCTTGGATGTGGTGCGTCAGTACGTCCATCACTAGAGCAAACAAAAAAAGGCCAAGTGCCGACTCCTGATGCAACCCCATCATAACCGGAAAATGGTCTGAGTCCCCATCCACCGTCCTCACTCGGGTCTTTACTTCGTCATACATGTCCTTAATCAACCTAACGTAGGCAACCGGTACACCCCTAGCCTCCAAACATTTCCACAGAACCTCTCTCGAAACTTTATCGTATGTCTTTTCTAAGTCGATGAACACCATAAAAGTCATAGATGAGACGGTTACAAACATTGAGAAGAGAACTAAAAAGAAGAAAGAGAAATGTAAAACTCCAAATTTTATATTCTCATGTTGAGTAATTTACTAATTTTTACCTTTTTAAGGAAATAAATACTTTTGGTAATGTTTCTTTATCCTAATCAAAATCTAAAAAATTACAATTAGGTGAAGTAGATTGCTTGGCTTATATGGAGTCTCGTTTTCCCAAAAGTTATTCTAGTGATTATAAATGGTGAATGTAGCAGCCATAGAAGCAGTCATCTATGGTGAAATATGTAGGAGGGCTAAAGCTCAGCTTCAACTAACAGAAATGGAGAACACCATGAGCAGAAGAGATTAAAAAGCTGCAAAAAAAATTTTGAATAGTCCGTCAGACAGCCACTATACCATCCCAGCACCTATGGTTAGGGTGTGAGAACGATCATCTACGGCACCATAACCCGAGGGCCGTGGGAGCCTGTTAATCACGCTCTGGTCTAATGGCCACGGCTCATCAACCAGACTTGGTTTCCTGTCTCCTTAGAACTCAAGGATACAATGGTACGAGCCTATAGAACAGATCCTGTTCAAGTAAGATCGTGAAACTTGTCTTTGAAGTCAGTGCTTATAAATGCCTTTTCTTTGCGGCGTATTGCCGATGTGGGACAGAGGATTTGGAAGATTTCAGAAATGCCCCAAGACGAGAAAGGGACGAAAGTAAGTGCTAAATTGCTTGTTTAAATACCAACCCAGCAGTTTTTTTCTTCTCAATTTGGACGTTAGTTTTGATGAAGATCTGAGATAACTTCCAGTTCTTTTTGTACTTCGGGTCTCTCCAATAAAATTGTATTTCCGATTATTATAGTTTAAAGCAAATAAATTTCTTCTTAGAAGCAAGGCATCTCCTGTTACTAAACTAGTTTCTTCCCCATTTTCTGATTTCTTCGACTTGACAGCACATAATGCTCTAGATTAAAGATTGCAAAGCTGCAGGATGACAATAATGCCCTAGATTAGGGGTGGCAAACGGGCGTGGCCGGTCATATTTGGGACGGGTCGGCAACGGGTAATGCAAAAAATGGATAAATTATGTGACCGTAACAAACGGGTAAACCGGTGGATAATATATATCCATATTATTCATGGCTTCTTGAATATGATTACTTTTAGGAGAATTCCTAATCTCAAGTTGAGGAAGCTTTACAAATGTAAAAGTTAAACGATCCATTGGTTATCAATTGTCTAAGTGGATAATATGGTTCTTATCCATATTTGACTCTGTTTTTAAAAAGATCATTATCCAATGCTTTGTTTAATGGATAATATGGGTGGATAACTGTTTTCACCGCTACTTTTTAAACTTGATTAAAGAAGCTGCTCTTCTGGAGGCACAAGGCCTGCTTTTGGTTGATGACCTACTCTTTAAACTTAATTAAAGAAGCTGCTCTTCTGGAGGCACAAGGCCTGCTTTTGGTTGATGACCTACTCTTTAAACTTAATTAAAGAAGCTGCTCTTCTGGAGGCACAAGGCCTGCTTTTGGTTGATGACCTGCAAAACAAAAACCAAGGTCTGATGAAACATATATATAGATAGGTCAAGTTTGCTTATGGTCCTTCAGTCTCTGATATCAATAGGAGCATATATGCTCTCCTGTTAGCTGCCACTATCAAGATTTTCATGTAATCAAGCGTCTTGACTCTTTCTGCAGCAAGAGGACAATACAATGCACAGACAAGCAGTTGCAAAATTGAAAAACTAACAAAACCTGTCGATGAGCGTGAGAAAGCTTTATTGGCTGGTGGAGCTGCACCAAATGCTGTACAAGAATACCTAAGAAAGTTCAAGAACAGAATAGACGTGGCATATCAAGTCTCTAACTCTACTTTATTGATAGCTTCTTATTTGTTTTCTTTTTGTTATACGTGTGTTTGTTTTTCTTAAAGCTTAATACATGCATTATTTTAGGTCTAATTATTGCAGTTCCATAGGAGTACAGTATTCTGAATCGTGAGCTAGCTCATGCAAAGATATCTGCAGATAGAGTAGCTGTTGTATTTGCGAGTGACTGGAATGATGACAATGAGCCATAACCAGGCAAGTGTACCTTTGTATCATTGTATTGCTTTTCTTATTATTCCATAGCCGCATTGTGTAATAACCTTCTCTATAAGCTTGGTATCCTGCTAGATAAAACATTGTTTAATACTTTAATGTGACAGTAAAGCAAGTACATGTCCTTAATAATCTGCCCCTTTTGGTTGTTGTAGTTATTCCCTCGAGTCTTCTCTTGAATGTTATCCCCTTCCCTTTAAATGGAAACTCTTGTTGGGCTTTAAAGACCCTTAAATTGTTGGGATTTAAAAGATGAGATAGTGTGAATAAGAAATGGAAGGAAAATTGAAAATTTGAGCAAAGTTCTTTTCGGATGAGAACTTTGTCTCTCATTGGTGGTGGAAAGAGTGATTTGTATGCTTATATATAGAAGCACATCCTCTAGCTCATAAAGAGTTGGGAAGAGAGTCTTCCCTCGCGCCGCTATCGTCGCTCGGCTCGGCTTCAGATTTGGGGTTGTGATCTAATTGATTGAGAAATTTTTTGGACCAAATTTATTTTCATTTCCATTATTTTTTTTCCATTTTCTAATATTATTACAGTGCAAAATTTAATTTAATATTTGCGGAAATATTCCAACAGTAACGGTGATTTCCGAAAAGTCACACAGAGGTATTCCCTCAGTTTCTGCATCGAATTTTCAAACTTCTGCATACTTTCTTAAAATAAAAAATCGAGCCTAGTGTGTGATTTGTTACTGCCTTTGAGTTCGACGAAGTCGTTGGCGTTTGAGGTACTGCTACTTCTGCGACAGGTATATCCGCTTTATCTTGGGAGGAAGTAATCTATGACCTCGGGTACAGTGAGGGGATTAAATTCCTTAAGGACACACAATGAACTCTGTGGACTCGGATATTTTCAGTTTCTGCATTTTTCTGTTTTTTCCAGCTTAATTCGATTTTCTGGTTTATGGTTTTGAACATATTCTTCTAACAACTCTTTCTCCTCAGTATTTATTATTATTCTTTGCACTACTCCAGGATTTTTATGGACCCTTTTCAGTTCATGTAAATTTCGAATCTATTGCAATTGTGAGGTCCAACCAGAACAGACGAATGGCCTATAAACGGAGTAAACTATAAAGAAGAATGGCCTTTCTGAACTTTTTAAGCTTTCTCTATATCTTCACCCCTGGTAATTGAAAAGTTGGAAGAAACTATTAATTCAATAATATCATGTGGACATAAATTATGTACGGAGCAATTAGAATATCGACATTCAGGAACTAATATCCTTCTCTACGTTCTTGTAGGGAGTAATGCAGTACCTTAAAGATAAAGTAGTGATTGTGGAGCATGCTGCAAAGGCAACTCGAGACGTCTACCAATCTTATTTCTTTCACTGTGTCTGAAGGTCGAAGAAGCACGGGCACTCTAAATGTACTTATCTTGGAGGAGCTGATAATTTTTACACACACACTCCTGAAATTGCTTTTCATCAAGGAAAACAAGATTTCAATCTGGATCATCCTGGTCCAGTGGCACTAGCTCATCACTAAATCAAGTAAAGAGCTAATTGGACTCGTTTGATGACATAGCAGCTAAGAGGATAAAGAACAGCGAATCTAGTACATCGATCAGAATGAAAATGGATTAGCGATGCCAGCAGTTCCCAAGAAAATGGAATAACTTCTGCAGATGAGAGAAAAAAGCCTAAAAACAAAGATTATGTTAATTTCCGGAGCATCAAATGATATGCTTCAGAAAAATGTTCATTGTTTAAAGCAAAGTTTGCCATGAGAAGGATCAAGCTTTAAGGGAAAACCTGATGCTATTAAGGTTTCATGCTCTATTTTCTCTGCCATTTTGACCAGGTGAAATTCCACTAGACACATTGCATCCTCTTTTGTTTTCTTCCTTTCACTCTGCTTATTTTTGTATGAAATACATAGGTGCTGGAAAATAAAATTGAAACATTTAACGAGGCAATTGAAACCGAGGCCGAAAAAGGCGCATAGAGAAGTTGCAGCAATTGAAAGGAGATCTCTACAATCCGTGATGGAATGGAGCATGGTCAAAGGGTAGTGTGTAACTGTGTTATCAAAGGGAGCTGTAAATTAAATGGTCATGCACTTTCAACGAGGTGAAGCTTTTGCATGACCCTCCGACCCTGTTCTATTAAATTGTTCTACATAAAATGGACCAAGTTTAAGCTTGTGAGCTGTATACAGCAGTGTGAAAGTGAGAGCCTCAAACCATATGGAATGGTTGAGCTTAGGCTCAGGCCTGGTGCATTGTCAGTGGACAAATTTTGAAGGTTCATAATCTTGGTGAGCTTATATCATCTCTAGAACATTTACATAATCTAGTCTTATCGGGCTTGTAGTTCCGCTGTACACGCTTTGTGAACGCTTTGCTGAAGTGAAGGGAAGAATGCATCTAAAAAACAGTTCTGCAACATCTTATTTGGTAAGGAGAAAGAATGGTTTAGGAGTACAAAGGAGGAAAATGATAGGAAAACTGTGACGTTTTCCCTTGCTTCATGTTCATTAATTAAGTGTGGCCCCGGAGAAAAGTGTTCTACTAAGTAAAGCACTCAAAGGACTGAGAACTCTTTGTTCTATTTCTTAAGCCCCCTTTTGGCCATTGATTTTGCCAAATAATTTCCATTTTTTTTTTTTTGGCAAATACGTGTTTGTTTATAGATTTTATTCATATTTTGGCAAATTTTCAAATCTCAAAAGAGCTGGTTTTGACCCAAAATATTACCGTTTGTTTTTTTTTTTTAAATCAAAAATTACCTAAACTTTTGTATTATATAAAAAAATCCACTCTCTGTTATTATGACCCAAATAATTCATATCTACCCATTTTTCTCTCATTAAACTCACGCGGCTATTTGAAGGTAATTTGCTAAAATCTGCTAATGTTTGTCGCTTGTTTTGTATGATTTTCTTCAGAGTTGTTGGGTATTTTTGATAGTTTTTAAAACTTATGGGTATAAGTCACATTTTATGTTTTCTCAAAAAAAAAAGTGAAATATGTTTTGAAAAATTATATTCAAACAGATTTTCATCTCCAAACCAAACTTCACCCAAATCAAAATTTTTAAAATAAATTTGGGAATCTATGGCCAAACGCTAGCTTAATTTTCAGAGAAAGAAAAAAAACATGGTGCATTATCTTCGTTAGATGTGCATGTTATTGATCAAGGAATGGTTTTCCTTAGAGACTGTGTGATGAAATTAGCTTTATGACAACTAACAATTTATATCAGTTATCAATCAATCGCTTAGAGCTGACAATGATATGGCGGGGAAGCAACACAAATTTTAAGAGAATTAAGGAACTACTCCGTAATATAGACCACATACTTTTTATAGTAGAAATATTTCGAAATAAGTAGTGTCATTTTGTCTCGGTGTAACGAGCATTTATCTATATCTACTCTATACTATATTAAACACACGATGTCTTTAACGAAATGTCGCTCTTTAAAAATAAAGTTAATATTTGACAAATTTGTAATTTAAGTTATATTCCAAATATTTAGTACTTCAAATTAAAAAAGTCCTAAGTGTTAGGATATTAATGTAAAAAAGTTTATTTCCTTGCAGGTGACTTTAATTTTCTGAACATGAAACGTAGTGATGCTTGTTCCGAGTTTTTGTCCATTTCCTTTCTTACTTTGTTATAGCTAATTTAATTATTTTAGAATAGATTAATTAGATTATTAATAAATTTATTCGTTAAAAACTTAATACAATTATAAACGATAAATATATAATTTTTACCACATGCTAATTATCCATTATTGGGGTTATTTCATCCTATGTAGTTCAATGTGTGTCTCCTATCCTAATCATACAAAAATATATAGTTATATTTAGAGTTACAGAAGTACATCTATTGAGCTGAATATTTCTTCCTTTTATATTAGCTCAAAAACTCTTATATTATTTTGGAGAAAGAAATGGGATCCTTACACAAATAGCCGGTCATATTCATTGTTTACCTTTTCTGGCCATATTCATTGTTTACACATAAATTATACATTCATTATACATAATTATACACATATAATACATATATTATACCCACGGGCTGGGTGGGCGGATATTTGGGTTAATTCTTCAAAATAAATGCACTACACCTTTTTACAGCATTTTTCTTAATGTATTAGTAATTGTGATATGGCTATGTAGTGTACACTAACAATATAAGTAACTACAATGAGTTGTAACATGTGTTAAAAATTATTTATAATATATTACCAATTAATACTTAGATGTAATTAGTTATTATCCTATAAATTACCTGATGCGTATAAACAATTTAACATATTTGAATTCTTGCCTCTGTCTTTCTACAATTACCTTCTATCAACTTTGAAATACTTCTCAACTTAGAAGTTAAAAAATAAAGAAACAAATGGTATCCCCTATTTAGATTAAATAGGTTTCTGAAGCTTCAGCTTGATGAGTGGTGTACATTGTTTTCATCTTAAATTCGGTGAGAAATCATGAATGATATACTATATTTTTATCATAGCAATAAAATTAATAGGATCAAAAGATATAATTAATTGACATGTATTAAGTACTGAGTTTCCAATTCAAGAGAAAGTTAAGATAATTCTTTTTTACTAAAATAGATTTCCAAGAAGATAGAAATACAGCCTGCTCAAAGAAAACTCTTTTAGTAGTACTTTTTCATGATTAAAATAGAACAAAGATATAAAAAGAAAAAAAAAATAAAGAGTCTTCTCTCAATTCATCGATCCTATTTGTGTCTTTAGGATGAACATGAAGATAACTATTTAAAACGTATTTCAGAAAAATTCAGGCTTGCGTAATCTTGCTAGAAATGAAAAGAAAGTGATCAAATTATGAAACTAGAAAAAAATTTAAGCTAAAGGAGTTCTATAGGACATCTTCTTTCTTTAGTGAGTTAGTTATATAGAATCAATATTCATTCCTTTTTTAGAACATATATTTTTTATTTTATACCTCAAATACAATTTCTCATATACTAGCATTTATGAGATATATATTTTTTTAAAATTACTTAATAAGACATGGCACACACGCAATGTGCGTACTCAAAAACTAGTTTAATTAGAAAAGCAACCTAGCACACTTAAGATGGGTGGGATGAGCAACCTCGTAAATATAATTGCAAGGAGATATTGAGATAGTAAAATATCTAACATCAATATAATTAACAATAATCAATATCTGAGTAAGCATTTTCCTTAAAAAATTTTAAGACTTTGACATAAATTTAATGTGGAAGAAAGTTGAACATATGAGCAGTGATGGAACCAAGAACTTAAGGGGATTTAAAAAAAATACTACATGAATTTAAATTTGTGATCTAAACCAAATTTTGAATCCTCGTTCTCATTTCATTAGAATCTTTCCTTATGTTAAACGATTTTAATACTAATCTATATATAATCAGGGGCGTATTAAGCTTAAGGGGTATGGGTTACTCCTTTCATTAAACCATGCATAACAATGTTATATTTTCTTAAAATTACTTAAATATATGTGTATGCATCATGCTTAAAGACTCTTATGGCGTAATAATTATTGGGTATATCTCTACAAATGAAATTGGAGATTCAAATTTCATTTTAGGCGGTCTTATTTTTGGCACGGAGTGTATATATATATATATATATAATTTTGAACCTATAATTTCAAAAGTGCAGTGGGTTCATGACGAGACTAAAGACCATCAAATATGAATTCTAAATCTACCTCTTTACAATAATGCACTCATTATTTTAAAATCCTTGATCCGCCTCTGGGTTCGAGTAGTGAAAGCATTAGATTGTCTACATCACATCCCTTGGGGCGTAGCCCTTTTCCGGACCCTACATGAATGCGGGTTCAAGGCGTGGAAGCTACGGCTGTCTAAGGGGAGAGTACTTGTCACGACCCAAATTTCATATTAGGCCGTGATTGCACCAAACACAGTTGTTAGGCAAGCCACTAGTCAACTAGTAAATCCTCAATTAATTAATTAATGCATAGAAAACTTCCCTTATTGATAAAGAAATTAAGAGTTTGAAACTTAAGCATAATCAAATGAAAGTAATAGATACGAACTTAAATTCATAATAGAAACCAAAAAATCACAATGTTTACAAATGTGTGTGACAAGACCTCGTATCACAAGTGTTGGGCAATCTAGTAGAATATAAAAAAAAACATTCTATTATACTGTCTGGAAATGAAATAGACAAGAAAAGTAAAGACACAAAAAGACTCCAGCTACTACAGAACGGCTCAGAAAGGCAGCTCACCGGAAGTCCCAAGCTAAGAAGTCCACTCTACGCACCGGATTGATGGCCAGATGCACCTGCCTCAAGGCATGTACAATCAAGTACAGAAGCGTAGTATGAGTACATAAATAATATGTACCTAGTAAGTATCCAGTCTAACCTCGAAGAAGTAGTGACGAGGAGTCGATTTGACAATTACTAGGGTCATTAAATATAATAACATTAAACTCAAACAAAAATAATACTGAAAATCCTTTCATCTAATTAACAAATCTAGGCACATTCTTCATTTAAAACAAGTGACCTTTCAAGCAATGAATCATACGAATTATAAAGGGTTCTAGTTCTATTATCACACGCAAATACCACCGAGGACATTCGGCCCGATCCAACATAAAAGTAAATTGTGCACTGCCGAGGGTCGAACGGCCCGAACCATGTATATGTTTATTAACATGTCGAGGCGAACAACCCACCCCCATGAGAGTAGTGAAAATAATCACCCCGCTCGCGGAATATACTTGTGACGCGGTTAAGTATAAATATAACTTAATGCTTCCTCAATTCTTTTCAAAATAAATATTTACTTGAAATTCTTAAAATCATGACATTCTCAACTTAGTTTCACTCAATGCAAATCATCAACCAAAATCATATAACGGTGCCCACAAAGCATAGTGTAAGCCTAGAGCTACCCGGACATAACAAGAATAGTAGCTACATACGGACTCTCGTCACTTCGTGCGTACGTAGCCCCCACAATTAATCATATATTAATTAAGTTCACCTACGGGGGAAATTTCCTTCTTACAAGATTAGAAAAAAGACTTACCTCGTTTCGAGCCTACTTCCAACTCAAGAACGCGCTCAAACTCTCAAACCGGGGCCGCACAATCCGAAACTAGTCAAATAGTGTAAAAATCATTCATTATAGGTTTACAAGTTCATAATCTAGCTATTAAAGTGATTATCCAACCCAAAAGGAAAGATTCCTAAAATTCATCGGGCCCACGTGCCCAAATTTCAAAAAAAATCAAAGAAAGTTGTTACCCATAACCTAAGGATCAAGAATATATGATTTTTTTACTTCATTCCATAACGAATTTAGTGGTTAAATTATGTTTTTTCAAAAACCTAAGTTTTACTCTAAACCCATAATTTCCACTAATTTATTTATTGTAATATACCCATAAACTATGTATTAAACTCACATTAAGTTGAAATAACTTACCTCACAAAGCTAGGTTGAAATCTCTCCTTTTGAAGCTCCCAAATCGCCCAAGTATGGAGTAAAATGTGTCAAAATATGACACAACTCCCGTGTTAAACAAAGGCACTGCCTTCAACGATTTTC